AGAGTAGGAGGGGAGGGGAAAGAAACTCAGAGCATCATGGGGCCCCCAGCAGCCTAGGCCTATAGCAGCATAACTAAGGGAGGGCTCAGGGTCACCTGATCCAGCCCTAACTATAAGCTTTATCAAAAAGGAACGTCTTAAGTCTAATCTTAAAGGTAGAGAGGGTGTCCGCCTCCCGAACTGAGACTGGGAGTTGGTTCCATAGGAGAGGAGCTTGATAGCTAAAGGCTCTGCCTCCCATTCTGCTTCTGTGGACTCTAGGAACCACAAGTAAACCTGCACTCTGAGAGCGAAGTGCTCTGTTAGGATGATAAGGCTCTACGAGGTCTTTAAGATACGATGGAGCCTTGTCATTAAGGGCTTTGTATGTTAGGAGAAGGATTTTAAATTCTATTCTGAATTTTACAGGGAGCCAGTGGAGAGAAGCTAATATGGGAGAGATATGATCTCTCTTGCTAGTTCCTGTCAGTACTCTGGCTGCAGCATTTTGGATTAACTGGAGGCTTTTTAGGGAATTATTGGGACATCCTGATAGTAAAGAGTTACAGTAGTCCAGCCTGGAAGTAACAAATGCATGGACCAGTTTTTCAGCATCACTTTGAGACAGGATGCTCCTGATTTTTGCAATATTGCGCAGGTGAAAGAAGGCAGATCTAGAGACTTGGTTTATGTGTGATTTAAAGGACATATTCTGATCAAAGATGACTCCAAGGTTCCTCACAGTAGTACTGGAGGCAAGAGCTATGTCATCTAAAGTAACTATATGATTAGACAGCAGATTTCTAAGGTTTTCAGGCCCAAGCACAATAACTTCAGTTTTGTCAGAGTTTAGAAGTAAGAAGTTGCAGGTCATCCAGGCCTTTATGTCTTTAAGACATGCTTGAAGTTTGACCAGCTGACCTGATTCATTTGGCTTCATAGATAAATATAACTGAGTATCATCTGCATAGCAATGGAAATTTATGTTGTGCTTCCTGATAATATTGCCTAAAGGGAGCATGTATAAAGTGAAGAGAATTGGACCTAACACAGAGCCCTGTGGAATGCCGTGACTAACTTCAGTTTGTGTGGAACATTCGTCATTAACATGAACAAATTGAAATCTTTCTGATAAATAAGATTTGAACCAACTTAGCGCAGTTCCTTTAATCCCAATAACATGTTCAAGTCTCTGCAGTAAGATGCTGTGATCAGTGGTGTCAAAAGCAGCACTGAGATCTAAGAGGACAAGTATGGAGACAAGTCCTTTGTCTGAGGCTAGGAGAAGATCATTGGTGACTTTCACCAGTGCGGTTTCTGTACTATGATGGACTCTAAATCCTGACTGAAAATCCTCAAACAAATCATTCTTGTGCAAGTGGTCACATAACTGCTTTGCTACAGCTTTTTCAAGGATTTTGGAAATAAATGGGCGATTGGATATTGGTCTATAATTAGCTAGGACACCTGGGTCAAGAGTAGGCTTTTTGAGTAGAGGTTTAATTACTGCAAGTTTAAAAGCCTGTGGAACATAACCTGTTAATAGAGAGAGGTTAATCAGATCTAGTATGGATGTGTTGATTAGGGGAAAGACGTCTTTGAGCAGCCTGGTCGGGATGGGGTCCAGGAGACATGTTGATGATTTAGATGAAGCAATTGTTGAGGTCAACTCAGAGAGATCTATAGGAGAGAAGTAGTCCAAGTATAAATGAGGTTGTACAGATGTTTCTAAAGCCATTGTAGTAGATGGCACATCTACGAGAGCTGTGGGAGTGGTCCGACCAAATTTAAATATGCTTTATTTGCATGATAGGAAATAAACTGTAGTATCAATGATGCACAACTCATAGTCAGCCTGAATTAACAGCTGACTGAAAGATACAGGCCCTAATCTCCCTTTGCTGAATTGCTGTTTCCTGCTATTCTTGCCATATTTTGGCACTGCACCAATGAGATGTGTCAGGGTCAGAAATGTAGGGGCTAAGAAAATATGCAGTTACGAGTGTCACAGATTTTTTTTACTTTTATATAGTCTCATTTTATAATATAGAAATATAGAAAATTAGACTATAAGCAGGGCCAAAAAAAAACCCTTAATTTCTTTGTCTTAGTACTGTGTGATCAACTGGACATTCACGCTCTTGCTTCTTGAATTAATTTTCTAAACCTTCCACTTTCTTCTTGCCCCCACTTTCTCCCCCACCAGACAAAACTGGAGCAAAAGCCACCAGCAACCTGCTGTTTCTGTCACACAAGTAGTGATGCCCTCCCTCCTCCTCCTCACCCACCACACCCCATTCTTTCTCCTCATCCATCCATCTCTCCCTCCTTTCACTGCTCCGTCACAGGGAGCCTTACAATTGTTGGTCACAGGCCAGGGAAACTCTTTTTTTCTCCCTGCAGGCAAAACAATTGGTTCTTTTCTTTCCATCACCTCTTGCCTCGTTCATTTTCTTCCCCATCCCGTCCTCCCTCCACTGCATTTTGTTGCAGTGGGACTGTATGCATGCAAGCAAGCTGCAAGGCTTAGTATAACATCTGTATCTCATTTTCTCCATCCACTCGCTCTTCCTCCTCCTCTCTACATCTTTGTTTACCCTCTTTCTCTTACTGTCAACCTCTTGCTTTCCCCGTCTCTCACTCTCATCCCAGCTCCAGTTTCACTTCTTTTCTTCCCTTATCATTTACCCTTTTCTTACTGCTCCATCCACAGTTCCTCTTTCTGACTTTTCCACCATCTCATACTTTTTCCTCCATCCCCGCATCTTCTTTCCTACCTATTTTGCCTCCTCCTGCTTTGGGGCTTCACAGTGCCACCTTCCTCATCGTTACTATGTGACTTTACATTTCTCCTGCACATCTTTCTCATCCTTATCACTTTCCTCTCTCTTCTTGTCTTCTTATGTCGTCTCTATTAAACCCTCAGCGTTTCCTTTTCTGTTTTCTTCTTCTCCTCCCTAACCTGTGGTTTGGAGGGCTTCGGGTTAAACTGCAGATGTTAATTCATTCATTACTGCATGATGAACTATAGGATTGCACTCTAACCTTGCTCTGAAAAGCCTGTCTTACCCTGGAGGCGGGCTGCTTTGTCTGCCCATCTCTATTTAGGCTGGTTTTTGACAGGGCGGCTTGACCCCCAAGCCCCCCCCCCCGCACACACACACACACTCCCCGAAGAATCTCTCCCTCTCTGTTTCTCCTTATTTTTTAATCCACTCCCTCTTTGCATACTGCAGCTCTGTGTCTATTGAAGCTGAATTGAATGCAAGTGTCAGCGGGCCCAATAGCTTTTTTATTAAGATGCATTATGGAGCATGTGAGGAGTTTGTGTAATTGTAAGCGTGTGTGTTTGCAGACACTAAGTACTGAGAAGCAGGAGTTTGTTGATGGTTACATAAATGCGTGTGTGTGTGTGTGTGTCCATTCGGAGTTCTAGGATGAGCTGAGGATTTGAGGAACAATAATGCTCTCTTTAACTCATGATGGCACATTTGGAATATACACACAGACACACACACAGCTCAGGGAGACTCTGAGGGAAAAAAAGGACTGGTTGTTCCTTTTATAGCAGCCGACAGGAGTGTCAGGGCGTTCCCCC